AGTATCACAGCAATTAATAAAAAAGAAACATAGGCCTCCACTACCTTCCCTCTGATCTGACTTAAACAGTCCTCGTTTTCTATAGAAACAAAGTTTCTAGCTATGTCTTGCAGAATTCAGAGTACTGGGAGCTCCCATTCCAAGGCAATGCATCCTAAGATACTCTAAATGACAGTACATTTTTGCCAATTTGAAATATATAAATTGTTTTATTAAAATTTTTTTTTAACATTCTTCGGGCGCCTGGGTGGTTCAGTCTGTTAGGCGTATGGCTTCAGCTCGGGTCATGATCTCGAGGTCCATGAGTTCGAGCCTAGAGTGGGGCTCTGTGCTGACAGCTCAGAGCCTGGAGCCTGCTTCTGATTCTGTGTCTCCCTCTCTCTGCCCCTCCCCCACTCATGCTCTCTCTCTCTCTCTCTCTCTCTCTCTCTCTCTCTCTCTCAAAAATAAATAAACATTGGGGCGCCTGGGTGGTGCAGTCGGTTGAGCGTCCGACTTCAGCCAGGTCACGATCTCGCGGTCCGGGAGTTCGAGCCCTGCGTCAGGCTCTGGGCTGACAGCTCGGAGCCTGGAGCCTGTTTCCGATTCTGTGTCTCCCTCTCTCTCTGCCCCTCCCTCGTTCATGCTCTGTCTCTCTCTGTCCCAAAAATAAATAAACGTTGAAGAAAAAAATTTTTTAAAAAAATAAAAAAATAAATAAAAATAAATAAATAAACATTAAAAAAAATTTAACTTTCTTAAAGGAGCAGGAATGGAGTGCAAAGCAGTGTCAGGATCATTACACAGTTGGGGGACAACTGTTGGGGCTCAGCTATGTCCACTCCTGGGTTCCAATGTGTCTTGATCCCCCAGAGAGCTCTTTGGGAGGCGGCTTTGAGGCCCCTCCATGGATTCCAGTGGCCAACTGCACCATAAGGGACCAAAAGACAAATGAGGAAATACTCACTCTTTAGGAGAACAAAATGTCGGATATATATAGAATAGTACCAATGGGGGGCTACTTTGGCACAGCATCCCTGCCCATGGATAGTTGATCCAAGGTCGAGATACCTAACCCAGGTTGGGCCAATCAGATTCTCTCTTCCCGAGGACAGTGGCAGAGCATCGAGGCCCCAGAGCTCCTGCCACTGTGTCCTACACGCCCCACCCCTGGGATCCTCCCTCCTCTTCACGGATTTAAAATAGATAATTTATCCATTCACATACACTGCATTCAGTCTTTTGAGCCTTTCTGCCCAACAAGTGCAATTTCCACACTTTCACAAACCAACTTCAGTTTAGAAGAATTAAAGCTTGTGTGATTATGGATTTTATAGTATCACTGATGGTCAGACGCAGCATAGACGGAACTGCTTTTTGTAAACAAAAGAAACCTTTTAGTTTAGATTTACAGAAAACCTGCAAAGCTAGTACAGAGCGTTTCCATAGAGCCCTCACCCAGTTTTCCCTGTTATTAACAACTTAATGTTAAAGGTCCCACCCTCATGGCCCAGCCACCTCCCAAAGACCCCTCCTCCTAATACCATCACATTCAGAATATAAATTTAGGGGGGATGAGAACATTCAGTCCATAGCAGCATCCCTGGACCCCAGATCAGAGCCCACCTTCTTGGGCAGTGTCGCAACCTCGAACATTAAACATATTTGTTGAGCTCCTACTGTGTATGTGGCACAGTCCCAAGAATTAGAGAAACAGAACGCAAGAGATAAGTTCCCTCCGGAAGCTCGCGGGCCAGTGGGAAAGTTGGACAACAGACAGGGACACAAACAGAGTGACAGGGAGAGTAGGTGACTGGGGGTGGAAGTGGAGTTACTTTAGATATGGCAGGTGGACTTCAAGCTGAGGCCTGAAAGTTCTCAGCCAGGAGAGACTCTGAAGCAAGATTCCAGGCAGAGAGAACAGGACAGTGGGGAGACAGAAGGGGCTGTGGGTTTGGGAATAAAAGAGTATGGGGGAGGTGAAGGTCTGAGAGGAAGGCAGAGGCACATCACATAGGGCTTTGAGGTCAGAATAAAAAGGGTAGATTTTTTTTTTTT